AAGACTAGAGCAAGACCAGAGAAACCTAAAACTAAGGTGGATGTATGCCATGTGTAATGCAATTAAAATGATGCCACTTAAAAACCCTTCTTTGTATTTATAGCTCCTTAAGAGACTTCTTCTTGAAAGTACCGAGAGACTACTTGCTGTGGTGCCTGCCAAAGCAAGCTTGTAATTATAGCAGCGCCTGATGGACTTTCTGGGTAGTTGGGATTTCAGTCGCCCAGACTGCATCTCAGGAGGCATCTGATCCGGGACTGTTCTGGGAATGTGCTTTTGGATGAACAGGAGTGACACTTCTCGGAGACATTCTGCTCAAATAACTCTTGCTGCAAACCATTATTTTGGAGTAAATGATTAACAGTAAAAATGTTACTAAGCTAGTACTTGCTTCTGTTGAAATTTTAGCCAGCCTTTTTATTCCTTTTGAAGAAGTGGGATAAAACAACGCTGCAGTTGATGAAATTAGTAGAATCTCCATTCCCAAAGCAGTTGCTGCTGCCTGTTCTTGGAAGTGCTTATTAAATAAATCCACGAGTGAAATGATTCAAACTATTTCTGTTGAAGAAACTCAGTTTTTAAGCATCTCAAGTTTTGAAGCGCTGCATAAGCCATGATTTTTCTCTTTAATAACCTCTGTGTGTCCGTGGCGTCATTCCCTTGCAGCCTGCACGATTTGCTTTGAGTGGTTTACTCAGTGCTGAGCAATCCTTCTGCCACTGAAATCCTTCTATAAGCAGCTCAGTATCATTGCCCCATTTGTCCCATTCAGGATTCGCGGCGAGAGCTTAGCACTTAAAAAAATAAAGGGTATGTTCTCTTTAATATTGTCCCGTCTCATTACGTCTCGTGATTCTGAGTGGTATGTCTGCTCTGGTTTCAGATTAATGTTTCCAGCCTGTTGAAGTGCTCATGACCTCGATAGGCTCGGTGGCAGTTCTGCCGGAGTCTTGTCCTGGTGGCTGGTTTCTCTCAATAACTTCTCTCCGCTGCACTCGGGCAGGTGGACATCTGACGCGGGTCCCTGCTAACGGGCGTTTTTGTCGCACAACGGGTCTGACAACAGAACTTCTGATGGATTTACTCCTTGCTTGGCAGTTATCTTGGGCTTGTGGAAAGCTGGGAGTGGATGCTGACAGCCTGCTTTGTGCTGCAGTGATGATCTTCGTGGACCGGTCATGCTGTGCTGTGTCCTTGGCCCTCGGATGATTTTGCAACCGTTTCTTTTGGTTTGTTTTAAATCGGTCATCGTGATTTGAAAGTTCTTCTGTAGGACTGTTAGGGTAAATTCACAGTGTTGGCTTTTCTGATGCATTGGATTACATTCCAGATGCTGTGGAACCATTGCAGAAAAGTTAATTATGCAGATCTTGCCTTCGGTGCCAGGGATTATACTGGTGTGTAAAGCGGTGACTGTTCAAGTGTGTTGCTTTGGGATCGTATTTATTCTGTTTGTTGGGAAATAGGATGTACTCATTCCACAGACTTTCAAACTTTTTTTCCAGTGACGTGGAGCGTTTAAATGCCCTGAACAGGTGGATGGGTCTGTACCAGCTCCTCCTTAACATCATTCCTAAGTTTACCTTGTATCGAGGAACCGCTTCCTCTCACGGTTTTGAGAGATTCAGTTTGAGTTTCTCATCTCTTCAGCTGTCTATTTTCTTACAAGAAATTTGACACACGCTAATTCTGGGATTGAAGACTTTGAGTGACACTTGATCATTAAATGTCAGTCAAGTGTTTTGTTCAGCTTCTGTAGAAAAAAGTGCGCCCTTCTAAGACGTGCCATAATATGGGAAACGTTGAGTCATTGTCTTGTGTAGTTTCAAGCACTGTAACGTAAAGTGCGAACGCACATACCTTCGCTTTTTTTCCAGTTTTAAACCTAACGTTTTTAAGACTTACTTAAGTTTAGAGTAGCCCATAATTGCTGGATACCAGATGCTATGGACAGGAAAGGAGGGCTGTCGCGCTGTTAGATGTAGGTAAGTGACCTGCGGCTGGCTGCCAGCGAGATAGGTAAACACGACTTGCCAAATGCTGTCATAATAGTGATTATTTCTATTTTCCTTATTTTTACAAGTTGGGTGCATGATGTCATGCTGATATTTATTTATCTTTACACATTTGAAATGATTTGAAAGTAAAGTTCTTCAGAAAATCATTGTAGAAGGTTGGGTATGTTCTTCCTCCGTCCCCTCCCTAGTCCTACTGAGAGTCATTATGATAACTTGAGGCAGGAGAGTTACTTCGGTGTTTAAAAACACCACAAAAGCCTTGTCTGACTCCGGGAAGCTTTTTCTGTTATTCTGCCTGTCTGCCTGGAGCTCTTCCTTCTCCTCTTTATAGATGATTTCAGTAAAAGATTTCTTTTCCTGGGGTTTGTTCTCTTGACATGTTCATAGGTTTGTGTCTGCTGGCTTTTTTTCTCTAGAGGAAATGTGCAAGTTCTTCATCCTGATGAAAGATCAAAGTCCACTCATAAAACTGGTCTTCCCAGACTGACTGCACAGCTGCTCTGAGAGGAGACTGTTGGCCTTCTGAGCAGTGCAGATAATGACCGGATCAAACTGAAGTCACTTGAAAAAAGTAGTTTGCCCATTAAAATGGTGAAAGAGGAGAGGCATCACAACCCATGAATCTGTCTGCACACAGACATCTTTGGCTGGCGGTTCAGAAGACAGCTAGGTGGTAAAAATTGTGGTGGTGGCAGGTGATTTGGTAAGAAGCTGGATGTTAGTAATTAAGCAGTTAAATTGTGTATTTTAGTTCCTTTCATAACAGAAAAAAATGTAAAATAAAGGGACTCAGGCTTTCTAAAAGCGACAGTCAAACAGCGCTGGATCGTATGAGAAGGAACGAATGGAAGCAAGCAGTTTAAATGATTCTGCATTGGATCCGAAAGTAAGAAGAGAGGATTGTCTTTTCTTGGAAAGGATTCAAGTTGAACACAAAACACAGGGCTGGAAGCTTGTTTAGGCTTGATGTGAGAATCTCGAAGACAGAACAGTATCACAAGTACAGTTTCTCTGATTTTCATAATCTGGAATAGAATTTTATTTTGATTTATGTAGAATATAGGACTCAGCATCATCCTTGCCTTGATTTTTTTAAAGTGGTTTAGCAAGAATAGAGTGGAAGAGATTAAAACTTTGGTGTCTGAGGAGCAGAATCTGGGGCCAAAGGCATGATCAAGTCACACTGAACCGATTTTGAATTTAGCAGACTAAAGCAGTGTATAAATATGTCAAAAGGAAGTAAGTGTTTTTGAAGACACCGTTGCTACTCTTGGAAAATATTTTCGCCTGATGCACCCAGTCATGTGCTCAGATGGCCAACAACACCTGAATTCTGATCCCGTCCTTTACTGGGGCTTTTAAATAGCTCGGTTGGGTTTCCTCTTTTCCTGTTTGAGGTGTGGCTCTCCTGTATCCACCCCTGACTGTGAAAGGAAGAAAGCACCCTACTCTTCATGTTTATGCTGGATTCAGGGCAGCTGTCTGTAAACAAGATCTGTGGTAGCTAAATGGGGCTGCTGGGGGCTAGAAGGGGGTGTGTTAGGGAAGGGGGTCACAAAAAGTGAGCCAAACGTTTTGTTGATTTTTAAGGCAGCTTAATAGAATCAGCCTGTGGTGCCTTGGGAAAATTACCCCACTTGTTGATTCAGACTGAAAATACGAAATCGGATCCCTTGCTCTTTGTTTTTCCTTTTGATGTCTGAGAATCTAATGTGACATCCAGGGCAGGCTTCCCCAAACACTCGGCTTTCCCAGAGCTCGTGAAGGCTGTCGTGATAAAATCGCGTGTGTACGAGCAAACTCAGCGTCTTGCCAAATCTTGGTTTACTGAGAACTGTAATTTGGTTTTTAGGAACAGTGTCTTTGGGCTAGGGTATGTTAAGCAGAAGGATTAAACCGAAAACCAGGCTTTTGGCATTAATCCAGGATTGATTTAACATGGTTGGGGAAGAATATTCTGGAGAAGGAACCGTAAGGATGCAGTCCTTGGGTTTTGCGTTGTAATAAGAAGACAGATGACATTCTTCTGCAGTCTCACTGCATCTTACTGCCAGGATTCAAAGGGTTTTTTTAGGAGCAACTGTTGCTTTATCTGTAAGTGTTCATCATGGGGGAATGGTAAGGGTGGAGTGAGAGGTGGAGAGGGGGAAGCATCGACATTAAATGATGAGTTCTTACAAAGCACTTTCAGGTCGCAGGGCGTGAGGGTAAAGATCTGATCTGACAAAGCTCTGACAGCCAACAGCTCAGACCTCACATACGTTTGTGTTAAGAATTAGAAGAAATAAACTGCGCTCCTCTGCCACTTAGCAGGAACGTCGCAGCGAGCGCTCAGAGACTGGGTTCTGCACAGCAGCCACTGCCACGATACCGAGGGGAAACCTGCCTCTTGCAGACAGCATAGCAGGAACCTGGTGTGCAAAAGCCGTTTTGCTTGCGGGAGTGTGCAGGGGGCACCTCTGCTCCTGTTCAGATGAGAGGGGGGTTTCTTAGGAGTCTTCACCCACAACACAAACTCTTCAAGTAATTATCATTTCCTTAAGGCAATTCCTCTAAAGGTCTTTCCCCTATGAGCTTCAGTGGTCCGTTTTCAGTTTAGATGTTTTCAGCGTACTGATTGTGGCAGAGAACTTCTTATTCCTTCTAGATGATATGCTGGTAAAATAGTACATTGGTAGAGCAGTAAAAATACAGTTTGTGAGAAAGGATTTTGCGTAGCAAAAAAGAGAGATTATGGGAAACAAGCGCAGTCGCTGAAGCAGACCATACCCACCAAAACAGTAGACGTTCCCACTGTCCAGAAAACGTCCCACAGTATTGTTAGTAGTTGCAGGTCCAATACCATAGGGCTAATTTTTACAGAGAGCTTACTTTAGGTGCCTATTTAGAAGTTTTGAAATTCTTACATTATCTAAATAACTGTTAGTCTTGCTTAATATGGTCACTGACGTTTCACACACCCTTTTTTTCTTTTTCAGGCCCAGAATGTTCAGCACAACAAGGACATGACTCTCGCCAGCAACCGCAGCCTGGCAGAAGGCAATCTTTTGTACCAGCCGAAGCTGGAGTCTTTGAAATCAAATTTGACTGAAAAATATCGAGAGCTGCAAGTTCTTTTTGAAGCATACCAGATAAAGAAAACAAAACTAGGTAACCTTTTCTGCTGCCGATTTATGATCTGCTGTTGTTTTCTGAATGAATGTGAATCTGTAGCACGCTTTTTGGGTGTCTCATTTTCATCTGTGTGAATTAGGGTACAAAATGAAATGTCATGTTCATGTAGTTCTGAAATAGATCATGCTTCTCATGATTTATGAATCAGTAGACTCTTTCTGTCATGGTGTGGTTACCTACCTGTTGTTGACCTACTGTTCTCTGAATGAACATATTTGTGTACCTTGCTAAAAAGCAAAATGTAACTTGGATTTTCCGTGTTTAACCATAAATCAAACGGAATACTTCATTTAACTTTCTCATTTCAGACTGAATTATGAAGTATTGTGTGTCTGACACTGCACCTGCTCAAGTGCTTTGTCTTTCAATATTACAAATATATAATTGTAATTAAATTTCAGCTTTTAGCACTCTGACAATATTCCTAAATTATGTGATAAATTTTCTTACTCTAGATCATCCTGTCTCAAACAAGGATTATGCTAGTTGTACATACGTGCCGTAGAAACTCGTGCCTGCCGAGGCTGCGTAGCTTCAGTTAGAAGTTGCTTGGAGCCTGCTGTCATTTACTGCCCTTTCTGTGCCTTTGCAGACAGACAATCCAGTAATGCTTCGCTGGAGACGCTGCTGGCGCTGCTTCAGACCGAGGGGGCTAAGATTGAGGAAGACACGGAGGTAATGGCAGTATGCTTCAGTGCTGGTGCTTACACCCGAAGCGGAAGGCTTTTGGTGCACGTAGCTGCACTGTTGAACATGTATTAGTCTAAAGGGATATTTTTAAGAACATGGTCAGGTCTCTGCTTTGAATTTCAATGAACAATCATTTGGTTTCAGCGAGAATTTTTTTACCTGAGTAATATTTTACCCTTTACATCTTCGCAGTTTAAGAGGGAAACCACTCCTTTTCAGGAAAGAAAGCCAAACTCAGAGTTCCTTGGCATTGCCTTCAAACTCCTAGCCTATAAACATGGAATCTTATTTTTAATGGTGTTTGCCTGGTGTATGTATTAATCCATTACAAATGTCAGTCAGTAACCTAATGAAAAACGGTGCCTGCACTGGCTTTTCTCCAGCATTTCCGGTGAAATATTCCATTAGGATTGCAATAGCATGTTAGCATCGGGGGAAAAGTCAGCTTGTTGGCCCTGGGTTGTGATCACAAAAAGGCGTTCCCAGGACAAGTTGTATTGTGTGATTAGATGTGTGGTCACTACTCAATTATTAAACATCCCCCGAAGCCGTAAGTAAGTAAGCGTGAGCAGTAACCTGGCTTAGCAACAGTCTGCCTCTCTGTACTGAGGCTCACAGGATTCTCAGTGCTTCTGTTGGCACTGCAGGCAGTGCTGAACTGTAATTCAGCTTAGCTGGCAGTCTGGAAAGCTGTTGGACTTGATTTGTTCCCATCTCTGACGAGCGGAGGAATGTTCAGAGCGAGATTCAGATGTTCTTACTGCTGTTGCTTCGGTATAAATTTAAGCAAAAATTATATTTAACTCCCAGTGCTTCTGAGTAATAACTAATTCAAAATGCTGCTCAGAATTCTTAGCGTGCCAGTCATCTTCCGTACGCAAGCTGGAAAATCACAGGCAAAATGACGCTATTTTTAGGATATAAGCCATTAAGATTCCCTTGCAGTGTGCCACTTTCTAAAAGGTTGTTCCATACTTGACAGAACATGGCAGAAAAATTTCTTGATGGTGAAATACCGCTGGATTCCTTCATTGATGAGTATCAGAGCAAGCGCAAACTGGCTCACCTCCGCCGTGTGAAAATTGAGAAGCTCCAAGAAATGGTGTTGAAGGGACAGAGACTTCCACAGGCTCAGCCGCCGGCCCAGCCACGAGCATCCGAGACAACACCCGCACCTCAAGATTCCTACGCTTCGGATGCAAACACTCCTCCTTCAGTTGTGCCCCGACGAATACCGCCCCCTCCGCCTTCTTCGGTCCCAGCAGGACGCTTTCCTACTCCGTTTACTGCAGCCGTGAGTTCAGGACCAGCTCTTTCTTATCCAGGTGCTCCGTATCCTCCTCTCCCCCCTCGCCCAGGAGTTCAGTCTGCAGGTCCGATGGCACAGCCGGGATACCCACCTCAGTTTGTACCACAGTATCCTCCAGCTCTTCCCCAAAGACCACCTCGCCTTCCACCACATCCCGGCTTTATCCTCCAGTGAATATTGTGGTGCGCCTAACTTATGTATTGGTGCTTATATTTCCTTTTCCTCCCCATCAGAGACTTACTGTAGGCAGTGGAAAGCCTCTGGATTTTGCACAGTGGGGCACAGAATCCGAGCTGTGGCGCAGAGGTTTGCGATTGCGTTCGGTAAATGTGATTGTTTTTGATTTCAAGTATCAGTTGACGACAAGGTTTTTCTAGGAAGGCGATAGGGTCTAAGTTTTGCCAGTTGTGTTTGCAGCGTACAGTGGTGTTCCGGACACTGCAAATCAAATCATGCTCTGAATTCTTCAGTGGTGGTAGGGCAGCATCCTGGTCTGTTGGGATGTATTCCCATCGCAGCTGGATGTATGTGGGGCGAACTGGGGGCTGGTTGTCTCTCTGAAGAATTCTCCGTCAGTGCCAGTGTTTGGATAGTAACAAGCACATCTGGATACTGGGCAGAGGCTTGCAGTGGGCTGCGTCAGCACCCTTTGCAGGGTGCCCAGGCAGCGGCGTTCGTGGCCAGGCGCAGAACGCTTCCAGAGCTCGCTGAGCTGAAGCTCTTGGCAGAAAATGTTCTATGGTTTTTAGACAGTAAAAGTTACAAGAGTTTAATTTCTACATTTCAGTTGTTAGCTTAGAGTTTTCATAATCAAAGTACACGCTCCTCCCACTCCTAAAGAGCTTGAAAGTCCTGGTCTCTTGAAATTAAACTAAACTGTTTGTAGAGCCAGTTTAGAGTTTTATAGAAACTTTACCAGGCGTTTTTATTTCATTGCCTATGGAGACTCTTTCTTACAGTTTTCCACACCTTGGATACAGAAGTGGTTTTTTTACACAGGTGCTTAGCTTTTGATATCATGCAATTCCAGGAATCTACACAGGGTATTTTCTTAATTGGATACTGGGTCTTCACGTCATGTAATTGCCCACTTGAAGATCCACAATTTCCTTTTGTCCCTCACTTGGCAGAACTATTTTTGACTTTCCCATTTCCTTTAGGTTGGCAGTTTGGGGCATGTGTACCTCTCTGGGATTTACAGTTCACATTTCTCTGCAAGCAGGCAAAACAGAAAAGCATCTTGAACTCCGGGGTGGCTGTTTGCATCTTACATAATCCGTTCTTGACGACTTACGCCACTGGAGGAGGGGAGGCTTTTGAGGGGAGCTCAGATTTCCCTCTTAGCCTGACTCTTGAAGCCCCAGGTGCAGACGCATGTTGGTATTTTAATCTTGTGTTGCGGGAGGCCAACCTTAATGCTTGTTGCTTGCGCAGAACGTGTCCGTGAGTTCGTGACCCACCTTTGCAGCCATGACTTTCAACTCGTTCGTGGTAATTTAAGAAACTCCCAGTCCAGAATCCATCGTAGCTCCTGCATTATCTCAGAACATTCCCATATCGCTGTCTGAGAATGCACTGCACTGCTGGGAAGTCAAAACAGCTTCAGTCAAAAGAGAACACCTTCCCTTTTTTTGCTTTACCTAAGGCCTCCACTGTCCCCTGATCATTTCCTCTGGAGTGCGGTAGTTGCTAGCAAATACTAATCTGAAATTAAGCTCATAACAGGAAGCGCTCTGTTCTGAAAATATGGTTATTTGGCTCGTTTTGCCTTCTGAAGACAAAGAGCAGAAGGTTGGTCAGCGTTACCGGTGTCTGAACCAATTCCCCAGTGTACATCTGGAAAGTTTCTGTCCGTGGGGGGGTTTGTGAAGCCATGTGCGTTGGATTTGTTCGCAAAGTGTGTTTTTTCTGTAATCTAGTGATGGTACAGGATGTGTTTTTTTTTAAAAATAGTGTAATATCTTTCCTTGGTATTATTTTCTCTGAAGCTTCGTATAAGCATGGTTAATTATGACTCGTTCCAAAGTAATTTTGCTGTGCTATTAGTGCTGGTATTTGGATGGCAGCCGTTGTACCTGAATGCTGAACGTGTCTGCTGTAGAACTGATTTGTGTCCTAGAAAGATCTCAAGTGGGTGGGGGCTACCAGGGTGGTGACTGAGTACAGAAATCCCTACTTTGAGCCTGCTACACAGAAATTCAAACACTCTCAAATTAGTTTTGCTAACGTTTAATAAAACCAACCAGGTATATTTTACACTTATCAGGTGCCAACTTTTTTTCCGAGGGTTGAAAACCCTTGGAAGTGATGGAGGTGATGGATAAGTGTATTGTGAATTTGCACTGCGTTTTATGTATCGGACTTTATTGGTGTTAGTACTCCAAAAATATTTTTACTACTCGTTAAATTTTCTTTCTTTTGGTAACTTTTGTGATAACGTGACCTTTCAGGGAATCTCTTCATCTAAAAACAAACTCTTGTGCGAACTAAATGCAGACAAAGCTAATGCAATTTTTCCTGTCTGAAAGCAAACCAATGCATTATTGCATATGCACGTGGCTGATGTGCCTTAGGATCACTACTTGTGATTGTACTACCAGGATACGAGCATTTTTATCACTTGAATGGCCATTGCTGAACGCAAATTTAAGGGCTCTTCAAGAGCACTGTCTTTTTACAAAAAGAACTCACCCTCCTACTTCAGAAAAAACAAAGCTCTATCTGCTATTTGTAAGCTTATAGTTGCCTTCGCAGATGGATCCGTTTGAACATGGATAACGGAACCGGGGTGATGTTTCGGTTACATCCATCTCCTAACTGAAATCCAGCTGCTCGTGGAAAACGTTTTGCCATTAATTGTGCGTGCGTGTGCGCACAAACTGTAAATATATACTTGACTGCTGGTGGTGTTTATGGGTAAAGGAGAAAGATGACTGTGGAAAGCTGTTGGAATCCTTTCAGGAGCAAATGTTACGGAACACTAACTCAAAGGAGTCGGGCAAGAGATGGGTCAGTGCTTTCTACCTCTTGCCCTTCAACAGCTTCTCCTGTTCTGTTATAGCTAATAAATAAATTCTGCTATGGCTAGGATGTTTAGAATCATACTAATTTGCACTGTTTATAAGATAGTGAGATTAAAAATGCCATAGGCAAGCTAACCTGAGGGGCGTGGCTCAGTATGCTTGCCAAAATATATATATTATTATGTTGTCTTGAGGATTTTTAATGTCTGCTGCAAATAGTGTATACTTCCCCAAAGCAATTGGAGTGGAGAAAAATCTGTTCAATACGATGTGTAACACGGCTTTAGAGCGTTGGTAGCGTTAAATGCCCTCTTTGGACGGCGTCACCTCTGCCGGTCTCTCGTATGCAGTTGTGTACGTTATGAGTAACTCAGTTGTATGTGGTTCAGAGGTTTGACTGGTGGTCAGCGTTGAATCTAACTCAAGGAGGAGTTTCAGTGCACTTGAGTGCTGTCTCCCGCAGGAAGCAGAGTTGGTTGTTCTGGCACAGCTGATCCACACAGGGCACCTTGGTGGGAGTGACCCTGGAGGGACTATACAGAACACAAACTTCCACGTGATGCCAGAGCCCTGGGCACAGTCCGGATTGGGTAACGGTTACGTTCAGTGCCCCAGCTTTCACAACCTCAGTCTCGACCTCTCTTGGGACTTCTCTGCCCTCTCAAACTGGAATAATGACTTAAGAGCTCAAATTGACAATTCCTTTAGCCTGAACATAGAGCTGCTTGTCAGACGTTGAGCTCAGAGGAGGCAGAGTCGTCCTGCACCTGAACAGTTCCTCTGTGTAATCCAGGACAGCCTACTAAAGGGGCGATTTTAAATGCCTAGCAAGTTGTGAAACGTACAGTGGATTTGTTTGCATAATAAGTTTTTCTGTAATCTACTGTGGTCTGATTTTAAATAAAATAGCATATCTCTCTTGGCGTCGTGTTCCTGTCGTGGCTTCATTTAAGGCAGAGTTATGTCAGTGTTCTTCAATACTGACAGTGGGGTTTTGTCTGTGACACTTGTAGGTGAATGTAGAGCAAGAATTTGCAAGAAATTTCCTTTAATTATTCATGGTAAATCTGTTGTTGGCGTTTTCAGTGACTGGATACAGCGACTGCATTTTATGTGTGCTTGCGGTTACGCTCAGCGTAGATTCTGCGCGTTGTAATCCTAGCAAGGGGGTGGGTGGGCTGTCCTGCCAGGTAGAATCCCTGGGCTTTTGTTTTCGTTCCCTACAATTAGCTGGAACAGTGGAAGTGGTCAGAATCTTCGCCTGGAAAGGCTTAAGGAAGGGGAGAAACCGTTTCTGTTTGTTAATAGAGGAAAAGCTTAGAATTCAGCCAAGTCAAGTGAGGAGGAATGAGTCAACCAATGTTATTTAGGAATATGAGTCAGAGGGCAGAAGGGACAGAGGGAATTTTCTGTATTATCTGCCTAGTAACAACATGAAGTACAAGTCCTACTGCAGAATAACTGATAACATATGGAAGAAAATCCCTTTTTTAATTGTTTCTTGACACGTTCCGTTGGTGGTGGGTACAGAGACTTGACGACCTTCTGCTGATGCCGGAATCGGAAGCTACAGCTGCGGAAAGCACGGTGCTGACTCAGCGCAGGTGGGCGAGGGACGGGGACGTTATGTAAAAGCTGCAGTTCCCAACTCGGCTCCTCGAAGAACCTGCAGCAACACCCCTGTTGGCACACACCTTCGAGCGGCAAAACCGTGGGGATGCCTGTTTGGAAACTCGGGTTGGGATGGCCCTTCCACGTGGGTCATGTGCACTCAGATCGTTCTGGGTGGGATCGTTGCCTGTGCAAAGGAGAGGACACGCCGTAGGGACCTGGCCAGGCAGGGGACTCGTGTCGGTCGTGTGATGACCAACAAAGCGAAGGGACACAAAGCAGGTGAGTGGTGTGTCAGTGACACGCTGGCAGTGTTTCACCTGGTCTTCACTTTTCTGTTTTCCTCAGAAGCTGGATTTGGAGGCCGTGTGAGCCGACGCATCCTTCAGCAGCACTTGGACCTGTAATGTGACTCCGCTGCTGGTTGTAAGTTAATCAACGCTGCTACAAGTCCCGTACAGGGTTGCCTGTTCCAGTGACCGTCACCAGAGACCAGACATGTGTTGCTTGCAGTGCTTTTGAGCGGTTTTGGTCTCAGCTGAAGTTTAAAGGTCAGTAAGGATTGACCCTCTGGTGCCCCGGCTGACGTCTCGTCCCTACAGCGGGCTGTCCCTGGGCGCTGAAGCTCGCCTGGAGCCAAATCTCTGGTTTTCTCCCTGTCTGCAGGGCAAATTGCA